AAAAAAAACAAAAAACAAGATCCCTGCTCTTGTAAAAACCAAACATACCAACAAATAATTATTGTTGTTGTATGCTGATGAGGCCATTTTAATTCAGAAGACAGAGTACGGTTTCCAAAGCTGTAACCTTTACAGGAGCAGATCAGGCCTTTTCCCAGTGGAGGAGCCACTGGTGGGTTAGACCTGCCAATGAGCTGATGAGCAGCAGAGTTTTTAACCATTGTGCGACCAGGGCTCCAAACAAGCAATTAGGCACCATGTTTATGCCTATGAGGCTACTGAAGTGCACTTCTGAAAGAAATTACCTAATTCTGCCTGCTGAAAGCTTCTGAAAGATGGTAATATTTGAGCCAGGTCTTGAAAGATGAACAGGTAGATAAGGAAAGGGTTCTCGGCCTAGGGCTTAACCACTGTGTCATCTGGTTTCCTTGCCTGTACTACAATCCTTCACATTTTCTCACTAAGCTGAAGATGAACAAGGAAAATGCGGTTGGAAAGGTCAAAATTGGTTAGTTAGGAGGAAAGGTCGGAATTGGGAAGTTAGGGTCCAGATTCTAAAAGGCTACTGAATATGAATTTTTTCTTGCTTCTGGGGCAAGACACAATTGAAGTGACTGACAAAATATTTACTTACATTCTAGAAAGAATACCAAATTGGGCTGTGAGGCCAATCAGAAGATAAGAACGATTAATTTTTAGAAAGCTGCTGCTATGGAAGGAACATTACGACGGTCTGAACTAAAACTGTTTTGTGTGACAAATGTGTGAAAACTACAAGCATGTATAAACAGTGTCAAAAGATCACAAACTATTAAGAAATCTATCTGGAGAAATGTACACTGAGCCCCAAAGGAGGAAACTTTGCCCTAAAGAAAATGGGAGAAAGGGGTAGAATAGCACAACCAACAAAAAAGAGAAGCAAGAACTCTTGGTGATGTCAGAGAACTTGTTAAAGTTCTTTTAACAGATGTCTCTGTAGTTGCCCAGGTTTTTACCTGTTCCCGGAAGGGTGCAGACAATTAACATGCTTACTGCGAATGGAAGGTTAGAGGTTTGAGACCACTCCACAGTGCCTAAGAAACCTCTGGCATTCTACTTTTGGGAAATCAGCCACTGAAAACCCTACGGAGGGCAGTTTCACACATGAATCAAAATCAACTTGTTAGTAAATGGTTTTTATGCCTAGTATCTACTTTGGAACTTTTTTCCCCCCTCTACCCTCCCAGTATCGCCACTCACACCACTGGTCCTGTAGGGATCATCCGCCCTGGGTTCCCTGTATTTCCAGTTCCTATCTGTACCAGTGTACATCCTCTGGTCTAGCCAGACTTGCAAGGTCGAATGCATATCATGATAGTGGGAGCGGGGAGGAAACATTTAGGAACTAGAGGAAAGTTGTATTTCTCATCGTTGCTACATCTCCTCCCCAAGACCCCTCTGCAAGGGGATCTCCAGTGGCCTACTAATGGGCTTTGGGTCTCCACTCCGCACTCCCCCCATCATTTACTACGGTAAGATTTTTTGTTCTGATGATGCCTTATACCTGATCCCTTCGACATCTCATGATCGTATAGGCTGGTGTGCTTCTTCCATGTGGGCTTTGTTGCTTCTGAGCTTGATGGCCGCTTGATTACCTTCAAGCCTTTAAGACCCCAGACGCTGTACTTTTTGATAGCCGGGCACCATCATATTTTGGAACTTTTAACATCAAATTAAAATTAAGACCCACCTTTTCATATAATGTACTTGGAAACATACATGCAAAAAGTTAATCAGAGTAGAGGAGTATCTAGGATCATACTTAGGTTCACTAATCGCAAAAAATGACAAGGAATAAGGGTGGGTACATGATGGGATTTAGCTGGGTGGGACCTGAAAAGCAAGCAGAGGCAAAGTTGTAAAGCCTTTTTATTCCAATGCTAACAAGTCTTAAAAATCCAAACAAACAATTCTTCAGGCAGTGTGTTTTTTTAAACTGTTAAGTATTTAGTCCTCAGACAATGTATTTACACATATAACAAAGAGTGCTACTACTAGGCAATTTGCAAATCAGAAAATCTGTTTTAAAAAAACAGCAGAGCATCTTCTCAAGGTCTGTAGCTGGTGTGGCCATCTGAGCTCCAACTGCATGCAAGAACAACCTGGAGAGACTGTGACAGCTCAGGTCAGCAAAGGATCTGCGGCTGCCACTCCCCTTTCCTACACAGTTCTCCAGGACCTGGACAAGGAAGCCTCCTACCGAAGTCCAGTTTTCCATCAGCTTCCCTGTACATCTATGGCTAGTAAAACAGCCTTGAGATGTGATGACGTGCAAAAGATCTAGAGTTTTGAGCACTAAGCACGATGGGAAGAAAGAACTTCAAACAGGCCATTTTGTATGCAGCAGAAAATTATTAAAATATACCTGGCTTAATAAATAAAAAGACTTGTGGGGGAAAAAAAAGAAAGAAAACAGCATGCACAAGATCACTGCGGTTTATATAGTGGAACTCATAAAATCACTAACCTAGGAAAGACAAATAGAAGCAGTACTTATTTTAATCTTTGTAATTCTATAACGCCACTGTCATCTACAAACAAAAAATGTCTCAGAGAAACATGCTGTACTCAGAAAATTACTTTGATATCCTCAAAGAATATTCACCCAGTAATTTGAAGTTTGTTAATGAAGTTTATCTTGAAAATCTTCAAATGGTGTTTAGAAATAGAATTAGGAATCTTGGTTTCAAGATAAAGCAAAAACTTGCACGCAGCATCATTTTTTCAGCAAAACAAAGAAAGATTGTCTATAAATCAGAAAACAATAGACTCTATGACATGAAAACAGTATGAAGACAAGAATCCAGTCCTAACATCTCCACTCAGTACAATTTCATGCACCCAACTCATTCTCAAGTGGATGAAACTTATTCTGGCTTTCACATGTTAAAAAAAAAGTGCTACTAAGTCAAATAGGTTGTAAAATGTTCCTGTTTCTTCAGAATTAAAAAAAAATTTTTTTCTCGGAAGGACGGATTGGAAAAATGTGACAATGTGAAAAATATTGTCAAATTGCAGATACTTTCTATTCTACAGCTCTAAGCATAAGTGGATAAGGGTCAGTAAAAAAGATATGGTTTCACAGTCATAGATTACAGGTCCAAATCTATCTCCTCATTCTGTATCTGAGGAAATGGGTTATTTGCTCAACATCCCTAGCTAATAAGTTATAGGAGTCACAATTAGGACACACTAACCCCAGGCCAACTTACTTTCTATGACAACCTACTGTCACAGGAACACCTTCTTTTATCCTACTTACTAGTTCAAAAAGGTTTTCTGATAAAATCCCAGGGGGATCTCATTAAAAACAACAGCAGATTACAAATGCACTTTTCAAAATTCTTCCAGTGTCACCAAGGCTGAAAAGCATTCAGTTGAAATAAAATCATAGCTGAAACACAATGCAAAATACATGTATTTGGTAACTATCCTCTGCTACGTATCAATATAACTAGCTAATCCCAGTTATCTTCCCAGGGAAACAACTGAAGCTTAACCCAAAACCCAGTTCTTTTCCTCCTTCCCCTATAGCCTTCTATATGTCCCTTCTCTACCTTGGGCCCCAGATCTCCAACCCATTGTAGTGGAATCCAGTCTGACTCCTAGCAACATTGTAAGAGAAGTGCCCTATTGGCCTTCCAAGGATATAATCTTTGCAGAAGTAGAATGGCCTATCTTTTTCCTGTGGAATGCTGGTGGGTTCCGACCTCCCACTTCTTGGGTTACAGCCAAACACTTTAACCACTGGCACTACCAGGACTCTTTCCCAGAGCTCTGTGGGACCGGTTTCCCATTTTCCAACCTTCAGTCAGTCGTAGGGTCTTCTCTAACACTCATGCCACAGTGGCCTCTCAGATACTTTTTTCCAAGCACATACTACAATCTATAATTAAGCTTTTTATTTCTTTTTTACTAGTTAATTGTCTTTCTCATTAGGACGCCCCATGAGGGTTCTCCTCCTTGCCCCGCCTCCTCCCCCCGACCCCATCATTATCAAACCGGTGCTGGAAATACTGTACTATGGCTTGTAGCTCCGTGCCCCAACTATGAGCTCATCGTGGGTGCCATGTCTCACTCATTTTGCCTTAGAATTTGATGAGTGTCTGCCCTCAATCTACGAGTCAGAAAAAGCCTGTAGAATAAATTGCACCTTAACACTGATAGTACTGAGAAATGGTGCAGGTTGTAGACATAAAAATTAAAGTGACAAAGGACAGAACAGAAAGGATAAATAATGTACATTCCAGCAGATTAGGTACTTCTAGCTCAGCAGAAAGAAAAAAAAACAAACAATCATGCCAAAGGGGAACCCAAAGTGAACTTTATTCTGTTCCAGACCACCAGAGCAAATGGTCCTCCCCACCTCTCCGCCTAAATTAAAACTTTGGAACACTGCTACTTATTCAGCACATTCAATTACTCATTACGCGTTCAAACACCAACATATAGGATTGTTTTGCATTCTCGGTAGATACACAGGTTGAGGAGCAAAGGAATGTGATAAAACAGCCTAAGTAAAAATAACAACGGCAAATTCTTACATTTGTAAAGAACTTGAAAACATTAAGAAAAATCTCCAAGTGACTCTGGCGACCTAAGCTAACCAGAGCCACAGATACACTCGTAGGTTAGGACCCACCACGGCACACAATTGACCATACAACTGCCCAAAGAGACACCTCTCTTTCCTGATCCTCTTCTATTCGCAGACCCCTGGAGATCATCAGTACAGGCTTCCCACCAACCTTATTCCTGAAGCACAATCCTTAAGGGATTGCAGAGGCGAAAGGCGAGCTCAAACGTCAAACCACAACAAAACAAGGAAAACCCACCAATCAACTGGTTCCGGGAACCCTAGTCAGGAACCCTTCGACGCCTTTCAAAGCCAACACCACCTTTCAGAGACCCAGAAGATGCTGCCCCCAAAGAAAGGTCTCTGGGTCCAACACACGTCCACAGATTATTGAGTAAAAAACCGAGTTTTCTACTTCAAAATTGTGCACTCCACTTAAAAAAAGGATCTCCGGGCAGGAACAAGCACTCAGTCCCTCAGGGGGCAGTGGCGCTCCAGGCACCAGGCTAGGACACAGACAACGGTTACGGGGCACGGCCCTTTCAGGGAACCGCCGGGGTGGCCCGGGGCTCAGCCTGGCCCAAAGCAACCCTTCCCGGCAGTGACCACAGTCGGGCCGTGTTGGGGCTTCCGAACTGGGCCTTCCCGGCTCGGGGGCGCGACGAGACACGGCCGCGGCGCCTTTCAGTCCGGCCCGGCTGCGGCGATGGATCCGAGGCCTCTTCCCCTGGCCTCCCCTCCCCGCCTCCCTCAGCCAAGCAGGCAGCCCCTTACCTGGCAGAAGCTCCGGCAGTAGTTCAAAGATGAAACCTCCGAAACCTCCTGCTCCCTCAGCTCCGTCTCCAGCTGCCACAGACACGGTCGCAATCCCGGGACTCCCGACGCCGGAGACGCGGGGCGATGACCCCGAGCCATGGCCTCAGCCTCCGCTCCTTCCCCAGCTCCGGCTGCCGCCGAAGCCTCAGCCCCAGCCCCGGCCCCGGCGGCGGCATCTCCCTTTCCGTCCGCCATCTTCCCACGGCCCAGCAGCGCGTAGGCAACCAAGCCACGTGACTCGGCCCTGACCCCGCCCCCGATCGCCCGCGCACAGTGACGCACTCCCTGGCGACACTGGCGCATGCTCGATTTCGTCACTAGGACTCAGTACTCCTCCCCTCGGCGGGCTTCTTTAGTGCTCTAGGGACGCCCTGGCAACGGCCTAGCAACAGCCGGTCCCCGCCCACCATGAGCCTTGGAGGAGCCAAGGGATCAACAAGCCAAACGTGTTTGTAAACCTATTAGGGGAAAGATGGTTCTGAAGAACGAGAAGAATAGTCCAAGAGGCGCCTAGGGAAAAGCACCCCAGGTAGAAGGAAGATGAAGAAGCGAAGTTAGTGGGACCGGAATGTAGACTAGCTCCACGAGAACTTGGTTTCCGACAGGTAGCATTATAAGTCACTGGGGAATGAGTAAACTCTCACTAAACGACGCTGAGACAGATTTTTCAAAAGGGACAAGCAAATAAATTTCTACCTCAAACCATATCTAAAAATAAATCCCGGAAGGATTATATATTTCAAAACATTTTCAGAAAATATAAACTATCTTTAGGGAATCAAAAATAGAGAAGAATCTGTTAAACAATAAATTTTAAAAACTAATATGCCAGGACGGAAGTATTGTTTAACTACAATAACATTTATTATTTCTGTATTTTTTAACTGATTTAGTCGCAAGCCCCAAACTAAGATATTCACCGTACATATAACCTTCCAACCAAACCAACCTCACTGTCATGGGGGCAGAGGTGGATGGGTTTCCAAATCATAGTGTCATACAGAGAAGTTAGAACTGCCTCTGTGGGTTTCTGTGACTAAGTCTTGATGGGAATAGAAAGCTTCCTATTGAACCTGGAGCCATCGAAGGATCGGTTGAAGAAACAAAAAACACTCCCAAGATCAAATGGAAAAAGGGGAACAAACAATAGCAATAGCAATAGCAAAGTAGCAATAGCAATAGCAAAGTAGATCGTACAAACAAGCAACTCTGCGCACACACAAAAGGAACCCAAATGACTAGTAAACCCATGAAAATATATTTAAACTGACTACAATTGAACCAACCATATTATGATTGGAGGCAGACTTACTATCAATCTGTAATATGCAGATGACACATCTTGCTTGCTGAAAGCGAGGAGGAATTGAAGCACTTGTTGATGAAGATCAAGGAGTGTAGCCTTCAGTATGGATTACAGCTCAATGAAAGTAATACCAAGATCCTCACAACTCGACCAATAGATAACATCATGATCAATGGAGAAAATGTTGAAGTTGTCAAGGATTTTGTTTTACTTGGATCTACAATCCATGCTCATGAAACCAGCAGTCAAGAAGTCAAAAGATCCCCTTGCAGAGGGGTCTGGGGAGGAGACGAGCCAGTAAGGGTGCGATGTAACAACGATGAGAAATACAACTTTCCTCTAGTTCCTAAATGTTTCCTCCCCACTCCCACTACCATGACTCGAATTCGACCTTGCAAGTCTGGCTAGACCAGAGGATGTACACTGGTACAGATGGGAACTGAAAATCCAGGGAATCGAGGGCGGATGAGCCCTGCAGGACCAGTGGTGTGAGTGGCGAAACAGGGAGGTTAAAGGGAGAATGGGTAGGAAAGAGGGAACCGATTACATGGAACTGTGTGTGACCTCCTCCCTGGGGGACAGACAACCGAAAAGTGGGTGAAGGGAGACGTCGGACAGGGCAAGATATGACAAAATACCAGTTTATAAACTATCAAGGGCTCATGAGGGAGGGGGGAGCAGGAAGGGAGGGGAAAAATGAGGACCTAATGTCGGGGGTTTAAGTGGAGAGAAAATGTTTTGAGAAACGATGTACCAATGCGCTTTGCACAGTTGATGTGTGTATGGATTGGGATAACAGGTGTGTGAGCCCCTAATAAAATGTTAAAAAAGGGAAAAAAAAAAGAGTTGTACGAGCCCCCAATAAAATGATTTTTTAAAAAGAAAAAAAAATAAGTGGAGAGAAAATGTTTTGAGAATGATGTACAAATGCGTTTTACACAATTGATGTGTGTATGGATTGCGATAACAGTTGTATGAGCCCCTAATAAAATGTTTAAAAAAAAAAAGAAGTCAAAAGATGAGTTGCCTTGGGTGAATCTGCTGCACAAGAGTCCTTCCGAGTATTGAAGAGCAAGAATATACTTTGAAGACTAAGGTGTGCCTGACCCAAGACATGGTATTCTCCATTGCATCATATACATGTGAAAGTTGGACATTGAATAAGAAAAGACCATAGAAGAATCAATGCATTTGAATTGTGGTGTTGGAGAAGAATACTCAAAGTACCATGGACAACTAAAAGGATGAACGTGTATTGGAAGAAGTAAAGTCAGAGTGTTCCTTAGAGGCAAAGATGACAAGATGGTCTTATATACTTTGGATATGTTGTCAGGCAAGACCAGTCCCTGGAAAAGGACATCATGTTTGATGAAGCAGAGGGGTGGCAAAGGAAGAGATTGATTGACACAGTGGCTGACTCCATTGACTCTGGCATAGGAACAATTGTGAGATGGCACCGCATCATGCAGTACTTCTTTCTGTTGGGCATGGGTATCTATGGGTTAGAACCTACTCAGTGGCACTTAACAACAGGCACATGACTATCAGATGCGCTTTGGTGGTATAGTGGGCTGCTAACTGCAAGGTCAGCAGTTCAAAACTACCAGTACACTGGGTGAGAAAGGTGGGGCTTTGTGCTCCAATCAAGAAATACTTTCTCAAAATCAATTCTCAGAGTCCACACATGGATTAAGCCTCTGGCGAATTTCCTATGACCACAGATAAGGAATGTAAATAGCCTTGTTAATTAGATTTTATTGTAAAGTGGATTATGACAGGTGTTGTTAAGTTAAAAATATACCTTATCATTTGATCTCCCTTCTGACCCATTTGAAAAACTATTGTAGTTTTTAATATTTTCTGATTCTTTTTGCCATTGCAAACATTTTTATGCATACATGTCAGTGACATTAATGATGTTCCCGTGATGTGCAATCATCCCCACAATAACACAGATGGATCTGCTTTATTTTCAATTAAAGTTTTTCCTTTGTTTTTATCATTATTATTTTTTGGTATATTTTTCTGTATATGAAATCCAGAATAGGAAATCTATAGAGACAATAACTGGATTAATGGTTTCTTAGGGACATGACAGAGAATGTTGGGGGGAAATAAGTACAAGAAAGAATACAATGTTCTAAAATTGATTGTGGTGATGATCGTACAACTCTTTAATGTGATTAAATTATTGAATTGTATGATACGTGAATTATGTTAATGAGCTTTTTTAAGAATGATAATCTCAGAAACTCATGGGGGTAGTTCTACCCTGCCCTACAGGGTCCCTGTGAATTGACAATAGCTCGGTGCCTGTGATTTTGGTTGGGTTTTGTACTTATCAGAGAGACTTGGTGGTGTAGTGGGTTGTGCATTGAACTGCTAACCAAAAGCTCAGCAGTTTGAACCTACCAGCTGCTTAGGGGGAAAGTCAAGGCTTTCTGCTCCCCTTAAGATTTACAACCTTGGAAATTCACAAGGGAACTACTACTGTTAGTCAGCAGTGAGTTTAGTTTGGTTTAAAACTATCAAGAGTCCTGCTATCCTTGTGGTAAAAAGATGCTTCTTCCCAAGATAAGTTGTCTGCTTCCTCAAAGATGTAGTTTTTAGATGAAGTTGTCTGCTTCCTCAAAGATTAGTCTCCCAAATCCTGTATAGGGTGGATATATATTGGAATCTACTCCACTTGATCACAGTGGTTTCGTTTTTTTGGTTTATAACTATCAAGGATGGCAAGACTTCATCTCATATATCAGGAGAGACCAGTCCCTAGAGAAAGGCATCATTCCTGGTAAAGTAGAGGAACAGTGGGGAAAAGGAAAGCCCTCAATAAGATGGATTGGTGCAGGACCAGGCAGTGCTTCCTTTAGTTGCACTCAGGGTGCTATGAGTTAGAATCAACTCAACAGCACTTGGCAACAGCAACGCGCAATGAGTCCTGGTGGCACAGTAGGTTAAGTATCAGACTGTTAAAAGCAAAGTTTATCATTTAAGCCATCTCCCAGTAGAAAGACCATGTAGTTTGCGTCTACAAAGATTTAGAACCTTGAAAACCCAACTATGTAGTTCTACTCTGTTCTATAAAGCCACTATTAGTCAGAACTGACCCAATGGTAGTGTGATTTTGTTTGGTTTATAACTACTAAAGCACAAATTAAAACAACTATGATGTCATGCCCATAGGATTAGAGAAAATTTTAATTAGTACAATGTTTTAGTGAGAAATATGGAAATAGAATTTATATACTACTAATAAGAGTATAATTTGGTACATCACTTAGTGGAGAAATTCATATTTATTAAAATCACTCTCCAGTGATTCAACAATTCATATTTGTAATAGTTGAGATTCTTGATATTTGCCATATGTGACAAGCACTGTCTTTAATTCTTTACATACTTTCACACATTTACTCCTACTACCAAGAAGCTCTGGTGGTACTGTCAGGTTCAGGTTCACAGTTCAAGCCCTGTGTTTTCAAATTATGTTTTTTGTTGTTGTTGAAACATTCTCTCATTTATCCCAAGACAATCATTTATTTTTTAAATTTTTTTCTGTTTTATTGAATTTTGCCAAAAGTGTCCATGGGAGTTAATATTTCATTGTGGTTTTAATTTGTATTTCTCTTATTTTTCTTCCAACATTTTTTGGCACATAGTTTACCCATCATACAATTTAATAGTTCAATCGTTCAATCATATCAAGAAATATTTAAAAAGATGTATTGTACAATCATTGCCACATCAATTTTATAACGTTCCCCCCCATAGTTAAATCCCCTTTCCCTCCCTGTCACCCACCTCCTACCCCTTACATCCCCTATAAAGCCTTGTATCAATTATGATCACTATGCATCCACTCCTGTGCTTCACAAACTGGGAGACCCAA